GAGGTGTTTGTCATCTCACCAACAGGAGCCATGCTTTTCTGGGAAATGCACGAAGTCCTGAATACTAGAGTGCCTAATGGGTTTTGAGGCCCAAGTAAGTGTGTATGGATAGGTGCCAGGAGAGAGCAAATCATTTCAACCACAGCCTCCTCGATGCATATCTGAGATCCCCATTGAGAATGGCTGGAAAGGTTTCATGATTTAGATGTGGGAGGCGCTGGGAAGGCCAACCTCCATGCTCCCCAGGAGGCATTGCTTATGATATAACCTTCATCAAACAACAGGATGCATGCTTTCCCTAGACCATCTCAGGGACTCCTTACCATAACACTGTGGTGTTGGTGTTTATGACACCCATATTTTAAAGATGGAGAAAGTGTGACATAGGGATCATGTACCTATCAAGAGGTGGGGCAAAATCTAAACTCAGTTTTTTCTAATTCCAAAGCACACGTTCTTAACTACCCCACTCTCTAGGCATCAGAGCTCTTGGACACCAGGTATCCCTAGCTGGAAAGCACCTTTCATCCATTTCTACATCCATTCAAGATTCAAAGAGTATCTAGTGATATCTAGAGTGAGTACCTAGGACCTTTGCTAGGCCCTGGGCTTCACTGATGGAAGAGACATGGACCCTGCTCTCATGGAAGTTGGAAGAGAATAAAAGAGGACCAGGGTCTAGAATGAATCCGAGTATCACTTGAGATGGCCTGGCCAGGAACAAGTGGGTTCTGAAACTCAGCTCATATTCCACGGAGCTAAGTGCCCATCGAGCTGCATTCTGTGAAGGAAGCAATTGTTTGTTTTCCCAAAGTGTTAAATGTCTATTTGGGGTGCCTACCTCCCTTCCCCATTGGTACTCTGAAAGGCACAACCTGTGGTGCTTCCAGGAGTCTACCCCAGGGCAGATTCTGAATAGTGAAGGAAGTCAAACAGCAAGTCCAAGAAACTGCAGTCTGTCCCTTTAACCCCAGTCAATGAGGTTTGCATCCAATTTCAGGGAATCCTGGTCAATTAACCATGATTTAAATTAATGTCTCTCAGCAAAGGGCCTGAATAAGTAAAATTTCCCGTGATTCCCAAAGATACCCTATCTCAGCAGAGAGTGAGGCTTTTGTGTGTGTGCCTTCTGCCCGTGACCATCAGACCCCAGAGAATCTACAGGGAAGGGTTTGGAGGACACTTATTGAAGGAAAAAAGGATAAGGAAAATTTGAGGTGACATCAAGCCCTGCGCTACAATTAGGGGAAGAACTTCCCCATTAACAGAAACAGAGACTTAAGGAACTCTTTGGAAAGAGGGACGAGTCCTTCACGTGCGCTCACTTTCAAGTTACGAACACATTGGCTTCTGTTTGCAGAGCCTTCGTGTATGAGGGCGGCACTGTGTGAAAATGGTATGAAAGCCCTAACCGAGTTCCCTTTTTATAGATGAGGACATTGATCCCCAGAAAAACCAAATAATGTGGCTTGGGACACATAGCTAAGAAGTGGCAGTGCTAGAGAGTGGCAAAGATGAGTCCTCTTTATTCAAAGGACATGTGATCAACTTGCAATCTAGCTTAGATGTCCTGAGCCCTAAGATAAAGATAAAGGAAGTAAGATAAGGGAAATGAGGCCAAGAAATAGCAAGGCAGGTGGAAAGAAGGGGAAGAAAGATGCGAAGGTAGTGGAGGGCAGATCCTAGCAATTTCTGTTAGGTAATAAAGAAAAAAAAATCTCCTGCAACCAGCCATGGATGAGCTCATCCATCTCGGCATCTAAAGCAGAAAGGTTTTGCATTCTCATTCAGTCCCTCATTTTTCAGCTGAGGAAATTGATACAGGAGACATCTAGTGGCTTCTCCAAGGTCCCTCAGGCTGTCACAGAAGCAGAGCCATGGCCAGGCCCCTGGTCTCCTGGCACACAGGCCTGATAATTTCCACCACACCACATCATGGAGATTATTAACCTCAGTGACGATGGTGCTATTAACAGCTGCAGTCACCGTCCAGTTATTTAGCACACGCCACCCCGGGAGCCATCTTAGCTTTGTGACTTGAAGGGTACGCTGCCCTGATCATGTGAGCCTCAGAGGAATGGAAAATTCCAGGCCGGTGAACAACACACCCTCCAGGTATCCTTCTTCATCAGCCCTGCCTTCAGAGGCTCCCAGGCCCTTTTGTCCCACCACCAGTTAATATTTCACTTTGGTGAGACTTCAGGGAACAAAGAACACGGAGCTGGCCTTGAGGGGCCAAAGGTAGGCAGACCATGGTTCCTGATGCAGCTGTAAATAAGAACAGTGCAAATGTACTTTGGATAAGAACGCAGCTCAGCCTCCCCAGGAACAGCTGGGGAAGCTATTCATAGGGTGGTATGCTATTTGCGACCGTCAGCCTGGCATTTGAATTAGGCTCACCTAACTGTGCTGCCTTCCCCGCAGATGTGACTCACGATCCTCATTTCCCGAGTAAGGAGTGGCCAGGGGCAAAGGAATATGCTTCTCAAGGCTAGCCCAGGGAGACATGGGGACCAGGAGCGTCATTTCCAAGGAGGCCTCCTACCCCTGGTGGGGAGAGCGCGGAGGACAGAGAAAGCTCCTTTGGTAGTAATATCAGCCTGATCTCCCTCTGGGTTTCTCCCTGGACCCTTCCTAATGTCCCCTTCATCTTTGCCATTGTCAAGCACAGGGGACATTCCACAACCCTTCCCCACTGGTGGCTCAGCTCGCCTCTCAATCCTGAGGACTGGGAAAGGCCAATCCCAGCACCATGAGAATGTTAGTCCCAGAGGTCATAGTGCCCTTCACACCACCTGCTTTCTGACCACCATTCTGCAGAGCTCACACTGGAACGGAAGACCAAGGGAGCACGTGAGATGCATTGGAGTGATTCTTACCCATAATTAGCTTGTCCACCTGTGAACATCCTGTGTTCCTGCCCCCTGGGGAATCCTGTGTGATCCTGGCCTGGTCGTGAGCCAAGGACACATCAGAAGCAGGGCCTATTGTGGTCCTAAGTGGCCTGGGGGGCCAGGCCCTCATCTAAGGATCCCTACAGGTGGAGGGGTCCCAGGACCTGCCTAGAGAGTCAGCCTCCACTCCACAGCCAGCCCCATGCTTCATATCAGCCTCAGGCCCACGAGAAAAACTCCAGCTCTATGTCAAAAAGCAAAGTGACCTTGGGAGTCCATCAGACCCAGGCATTAGGAAAGGGCAAAATCTTTCTCCCGAGGTGACTTTCCTTCATGGCTCTGGATCCCTCTCCCTGGCCCCCTGCCCACCATGTTGCTGGAAGCTGCAGTCAAAGGGGTCTCTGTACACCGAGAAAATACTGAGCTGTGGTCTGGTGGCTTACATCAGGGAAGGCTTAGCTCCCTGGGCCAACCACAAGCCTCCTGAGGAGACACGCTCTGCCTGTATCTCTGCACCCCCACACGGCAACCCCCAGCCAGCATGAAAGCAAGGACTTTGTGTGTCCTTGACACCTGAGCTGGCCTTTTGGCTATTCGATTGCTCTGGGCAGAGAGGAAACTGATCTCTGCATTTCTGAAGGGCTTAGTGCTGACTTTGACACAGGGTATGCATGTAGTGGTGTTGTTAATTCGAATCGTCCGATTTCAGTAAAGAACTTTCTAAATGAGTCGACCTTACATTAATGGGCCCGTGAGGGTATATGCTATAGATACATGAAACTGATACCAATTTCACCTTCAAGACACTAGCAACCTTTAGAAATAATATTTCTTAAAAAATATTTCTTAAAAATATTTCTTCTTCCTGAGCAAAAATGATCCATGTATGGGGGATTTGGCACATGAGCTGGTCTTCTTAGCAGAAGGGATCAGTTTCCTGCTAAATCTTTGTTATTCCACTCCCTACTACGTACCAGGCACTTACTATGTGCTGATTATTCAAAGAAAAACAAGGTGCTGCCTGGGTTGAAGCCGGTTTCTCAGGGGGCTCGTTACACTGGATCAAAACTGTTTTAGAAACACGGCCTTGAGCTCTGTAAGAGACAGGCAGCAGCAGATAAATCTTCCCTGATGTAGGACGGGAGGGCAAGGCTAGAGGAGGTTTCCCGGAGGAAAGGACATTTGAAGGATGGAAAGATCCATATGGACAATGGAATCTTCTCGGCTGGAGAATAGTAATGAAAACATCCCACGTCAGCTGCACTTTGGGAAAGGAAAGATCCCCCGCTCTCACTGTGGCATGATAGCAGACCAAGGTCAGGGTGACAATTTTGGCCAGGGAAGGGGGCATTTGCTTCTAAGTCAGCTTGTCCCAAGGGCTCTTCCTGCCTGAAAATAGCTGCCCGGATTCATTTCTCCTATCAGTCCCAGAGGCCACAGACGGGGAAACAGGCTCTGTCCACGTGCAGAGCAGAGTTGTATCTGGAAAGTTGGGCTATAACACAGGGGACAGCCTTGGGCACTGGCAAGAGGCCAGGCCTAACCACACCTCCGAGTCCAACCAGCTAAGTTTGGACAGACCCTCTCTGGTTGTTTCCACGTCATGTGACCGAAAGCCTTATCATAATAACAGCTGTAAAAATGCCAAACTTTAACCTTATTAAAGTCACACTGTTCTGGTTTGGCAACCCTAATGGGATTTTGCAACTCAGAATCCTCAGTCAGAGTTCTTGAACGGCCCAAGGTCTCCTGGGCCTGCCATGGGGGCCTTCAGAGAGGGGAGCCCACCCACAGTCCCACCCCACCCCGGGTCCATCCACCACCCGTTCTCAGGGTGGCCACCACAAACGCCTCCTATTTGTTACTCATGGAAATGGAGAGAGTTCCACTGTCCTAGACCCCAAGGAGGGTGCCTGAGGGTCCCCGCAGCACTCCCCAGCTGACACGGTCTTTTCCTCTGGATGAATGGAGCACAGTGGAACTTGTAGCTGTTGTTGTGATGATTAATATGTCAAATAGATATCACGGGAAAGGAAAGCAGGAGAGTGATGGGGGGGGGGGAGAAGGAAAGGAGAGAGAGAAAGCCAAGCCGAAGAAGGAAAAGGGGAAAGAACAAGGGGAGGGCAGAGAGGTGGGGAGGGTGGCCACACTCGCCCCAACGGGGCTGCATCAAACAGGCCAGAGGGCTGTGGGGGTGTCTCCTGCCCAAGGTCACCTTGGTGGGAAGGTGGTTTAGTCAGTTGCTGAGGAGAGGTCTCCCGGGAGCCAGGTAGTAACAGAAGTTTCTGGATGCTGGGGAGTCATGGACCTGACATATTTGAGGAAATGTGTTTTTTTCCCCCCAGAATAAAATGCACAAAAAGACCGTTTTGCATCCGGTGTTAGGAAGTTCACTAAGTCCCTAGACCTCCGTAAAAGAACAAAAACAAAAAAAACCTTGTGTTCATCTGATGGTGTTTCCGCAGCTGGGACTGTGTCACCTCTGTTAGCACCACCTCTGCAACGTGATGCCTTTCCGAAACGAGTTTGGGAAGGTGACAATGGCGTCAGCCACAGCACGCTTCCGCTCTGCTGAGCCTCTGCTCTGTCTTATGAGACCTGACCCTCCCGGCCACCTACAGGCCCACCCCGAAGTAGCTTCTGGGAGAAGGTCCCCTTGCCGACTCCAGGCAGTGTAGGTGGCCTATGTGAAGTCTGTCTGTGCTGTGCGAGAATGCGCTCCGGGGTCATGAGATCATTCCACAGATGGTCCAAGGGATGCCTGGTCAAAATGCCTAGGGGAAAGACATTTGCAGTGCAAAGGAATCCTTCAAAACCAAGGCTCCACCCTCCAGCTAATTATTTCTATCGGGTTGTATTAGAAGTTCTCATTTTCTTTATAATCAGAAACTGGCTCAACGTAAACATCATTGACTATGGAAATCTCTTGTCACTTTCAACAGGGTCTGGATTTCCTCTCCTCTCTCTTGGTCTAATCCAAACAAGGTGACAGGCCAGCGTAATCAAACTTTACTAAAGCCCCTCTACCCTCCTGTGGATTGTTATACATGTTGCTTCTCAAATGCAGAAGGGGAAAATCAGGTTCTGTAGGGCCTTCCAAAGGTTACATTATCTCTGGATGGGAAATGGGACGATGATAAACCATGAAGACTGGTTTATATGGTCAGCAGAGGAAAAAGTCTGTTGATAAATCTTACTTTTAGTTATATTTTTAAACGTTTAATTTTGAGATAATTACAATTGTACAAAACAAACGGCAAAAAAAACAATTTGAGAGGATAACAGCATCTAAAAGGTGGAAACTAAAATTGCCACCAATAAATGAGTGGACAAACAGAATACGGGATGTTATTCAGTCTTAAAAAGGAAGGAAATTCTGATGGATGAACCCCTCAGACATTCAGCTAAGGGAGACAATCCAGTCATAAATCAACAAATATTGTATGATGTCATTTATATGAGATATCTAGAATAGTCAAATTCAAATAAATGGAAAGTAGAATGGTGGTTTTCAGGGGTTCGGGGACAGAGATTAGGGAGTTGTTTAATGGGTTTGGAGTTTCAGTGTGGGATGATAAAAAGTTCTAGAGGTGGAAGGTCAAGTCTATTGTACCATAATGTAAAGTAATAAATCCCACCTGTTAGTCAGCTTTCCATTACTGTGACAAAATACTAGAAAGAATCAACTTATAAGGCAGAAAGTCTTATTTGGGCTCCCAGACTTCAGAGGTCTTAGTCCATGATCACTGGTTCCATTGCTTTTGGACCTGTGTAAGGAGCACATGGTGAAGGAAACAGATAAACTCAAGACGGCCAGGAATCAAAGAGAGAAACAGGCAGGGGCCCAAGTCCCCATGTCCCCTTCAAGGGCACACCCTTAGTCACCTAAATTCCTAAATGTTCCACCACCTCCCAATAGCACTCCAAGCTTTCAACACATGGCTTCTATGGAATACTTAAGATCCAAGTTTTAGCTCCACCAAACTGTGTATGTAAAAAATAATTAAAATGGTAAAATTTATGTTACAGGTATTTTACCACCATAAAAATGTTACAAGGAAGTCCCCACACACTCTTCACCCTGCCACCTTGTATAATGATAGTGCACTATCAAAACCAGGAAATTGATATTGGTACAATTCAAAGCTAATTTGGGCTACCAGTTTTACAGGCTCTTGTGTGTGTGTGTGTGTGTGGCTTTATACAATTTTATCACCTATGCAGCAGTGCATAACCACATTCAAGATCCCTAATTGCTTCATCACCACAGGGTTTCCTAGTACTGGTCTTCCGTGGCCTTCCCCAGTCTTTCCTCACAATCCCTAATTCCTGTCACTAATGGGGTTCTTCATCTCCAGAATCTCTGCATTTCAAGAATGCAACAGGGCTGGGTGTAGTGGCCCATGCCTGTAATCCCAGCGGCTCAGGAGCCTGAGGCAGGAGGATCATGAATTGGACAGCAGCCTCAGCAACTTAGTGAGAAGGTGTATTAAAAAAAAAAAAAAAAAAAAAGGACTGGGGATGTGGCTTAGTGGTAGAGTACCCCTGGGTTCAATCCCCCATACCAAAAACAAACAAACAAACAAACAAACAAAACTAACAACCAAGAAAATGAAATCCTACAAAGGAGGCATATCAGGTGGGGGCATATCAGGTGAGTTCGACACTGGGATCAGATTAGAGCTTAACTTCATTTTGTGATATAAAACCAGTAAGAGTATTCAGTTTGGTGACTGGTGGGTTTTGTAGCAGCTCTCCTTATACCTTTTGCCTTTAAAAATCAAGTTTGTTTCATTCACAGATTGTTTTGTAAAGAGACATTATTTCATAGAATTTAATGTAGAAAACAAACAAAAAATGGAATCCTACAACATGTAGCATGCAATCTTTCGAGACTGGCTCTTTTCATTCAGCATAGTCACCTTCAGATCCACCCAAATTTTTGCAAATATCAACCCTTTGTTCCTTTTTATTGTTAACTGGTAATCAATGACTTGGATATAAATTTCCAATTATACCCTTTCATGAAAAATTAACTAAGGAACTCTTCAGTTGTCTGTCTACATTAAGACCATTGCTCAACTCCAGTGTAGCCACAACAGGAGTGACCGTCCCATGGGCTCACCAGCATATCCTGAACTCCACTCACCTCCCAGAAGCCTTTGTTGAGCCACAGGCTATGTCTCCTTGAAGAAAAATGTCCTACAGGGCAAGCTCTCCTGCCATCCTGCCCACTGATGTCATCTTGGGGATCCCAGTGGACAGGGAGTGTGATATGATGGGATTTCTTGGTCCACAGAAATGGAACACTCTCCACTCTCCTCCTGTGCACCCCAGGAGGTCTCAAGAGGACAGGCAGGTGGGACCTCTTTAGGAAAGCAGGTAAACGCCAAGAACCATTGTTTTAACTAGGATGTTGTTTCCAATTCTCAGAAGGGAGAGTGACTATTTCCACCACTCACTATCATCTAAAGCATCCCTGTCGCCCTCAGTGAAGCATGAACTCCAGCCCCTGAGCCGAGCATAGTGCCTGCCACCACCACCTCCCCCCCCCACCCGCCAATGTGTGGTGTTGTTGAAGGAGAGGGGCCAAGTTGCAGGGGACAGTTCACAAAGGCTGACCAAATCAGGGCAGCAAGGTTTCATTTTACACTATTTTCAAAAGCTGCTCCATCAGCTGTTTGACAAAGGTGGGAGTCAGAGTACATGAGTGGAACAATAAAATAGTCATCTTCTTCCTCCTCCTCTTTTCCAAATGTGACAGCCCTCCCTCGCTCCAAGGTGCGTCTCCCAGACTGGAAAGAACTCCATGTTCTGGGTGGGGTGGGGCTTCTTACTGAAAAGCAGGTGTTTGGAGAGGTGAAAAGGGCTGGCTGGGTGGAGTTGGAGCTGGAGATGGAAGTGAGGTAGTTCAGGGAGGCTCCTCAGCCACCTAGAAATGAAGGAGCAGAATTAAAGTCCTTCATCCCCTCCCAAGAATAAGGACAGAGGTTCTTACAGCCTTTCTCTTCATCTCCCTTTCTTGCAAGCATACCTACCCTTTGACCCTTTGCCAGGGGCAATCTGAAAGGTTTATATTTCTAGTCAAATAGATAGAAACCCAGAGAGGCCACCACCCAACATCCTTGTCACTGCCCTGAGGCCCCAGATCCTGGGACTTTACCCAACAGCTTGGTAATTCCTTCTCTGAGGAGAATCAGGGGGTGTGGCCAGAAGTAACCTGGAAAACACGCAGTTGTAGAAGAGATGCTATGCAAACCTAAGGGTTTGCTCACTGCCCCCGAAGGATCCTGAAGGTGACTGACTGCTCACAGGTGGGCGAGGTGCATCATTTGCTGTGGGAATCATTGCATGGCTCCATAAGGGGTGGGTGAGGAGCCGGCACCAGCGCCTCCTCCGTGTGTGCTTCACACCGTCCAGGGTTCCTTGCAGGAACTTACTGAGATGCCAGGTGCTATGGCCTCTTCCAACTCTGGAGATGGAGTAAAGGTCCTTCTCTGACACCAACAAAGATCAAAGCTTTGGAGGTTTTGTCCTGGACTTAAGTAACCCAGGGTGCCATACATTCTATCCAGAATTTGGTTTCCTCTGCAAACTCTATTTCACAAACTCGGTATTTCGTCAATTAATTCAGTATTCATTGACCATTATCTGGTGGCCAAAAGCAGTTCCAACTTCTGGACTTTGTTCTTCAGGGTGAAAAACTGCACTTCTTAGAAAAAAAAAAGAAATTCACCAGGTCTTTAGAATCTCTGTCGACACCTTGTGGGTTAATGAAGGCTCAGAAAATCCAAATGTTGGCCAGGAGACTGGAGTCAGCAGGATTTCACCTGCATAGTCAATTTTTACCTAGAATAGTGCTCTGCCTGCATTAACTTGTCACCAGTGGAGTGAAAATATGAACCTAGGGATATGATAAAGTTTGACATGAGGAGTTCTCCGTATACAGAAGATTCAAAACAGAAAGTCCACAAGAAGTCTCTCTCTCTCTCTCTCTCTCTCTCTCTCTCTCTCTCTCTCTCTCTCTCCTTCCTAATGGGCTGACAGAAGAGCTGACACCTGCCATGTGGAACATTCGAGGTCTATTCCTGAGCCCCTGGTTGTCATCAGTAAGAGCTGTCACCATCCCCTCCAAGCTGTGGAGATTTTTCTCCTGGACTTAAATGACCCAGGGCTTCTGTACATTCTTTCTAGGACGATCTCTCCTCTTCCTTCAAATCAAAGCTTCCGTGTTCCCCTCTCACAGTGGCATCTCGGACCACTTGCTCTTCTTGACCAGGAGGAGGACCGGCCTGAGCAAAGACTCCTGGGCAGGAGGGAGCCTGGCATTCCTAGGGACTGGCGGAAGGCCAGGATGATAGTGAAAAGTACAATGAGATAAAGTTGGAGAGCAGGTAAGGACAGCCGGCGTGGAAGCTGCTGCCCTTTCTCCCAACATCCTGAGCAGGGAAGAAGAATTTGCAAATTTCTTATACGTGCCTTTGCTTATCAGAGCTTTGTGCCCTCACTGAAGCCATGGCACTGAGTTTGATTGCCCTGAGTGAGGCACTGTGAACAGAAGGAACCATCCAGAGGGATCGGTAGTGACATCAGCAGACAAGTCATGTCACACTGGGGTTTGAGCTACAGAAGGACAGAAGAATGTACAAGTTCCTGCTGGGAGCCTCGGTGCCAAATGGCTCCAGGGAAACTCAGGCTTCTTGGGGCCACTTCAATCCTACTCCTCTACTCCCTGGTGGCTGAAGATCCTCTGGTCTGCCAATCCCCTCCTCTGGCCTGCCCTCTTCACCTGCACCCCCGCCTTCCCTCTGTCAGAGGCTCCACCCTTCCCAGGAACACAGAGTTCTCTGGCCCTGGACTCTGGGAGGGCCTGGACCGTGTCAGGATGTGCTCAGGCAGGTGGGGCGTGCCAGGGAAGGGGAGGAAGGTCAAAGATGGCAAGTGAAGGGGACCAACGAAGAGACGGTTGTAGGGGCTTCCCCTCACACGTGTGGGCTCTTCCTCTGACACAAAGCAAAGGATGCAGATTATGAAATGGAATGAAATCGCATGGTGTCTCTAGAGTTGGGCCAGCCCTTATAAATCCATCTGACCTCACTTTGGCCAGCTCCAGGCCTGCAGGTGCAGGCCCGTGTGCCAGGCAGGGAGAGGACACGGACTGGATGAGGAGGTGAGGTGGCCAACCAGCCTGTTTGCTAGGGACAGGGATTTCCCCGGACATGGGACTTTCAGTACTAAAATCAGCACAGCCCTGGACAAACTGGAACAGTAGGTCATCATCGCAGGAACTGACCACCCCAGAGAGACATTAGAGAAAGTTAGTACAGCACCAGAGGCTGGTGGGCACTGGCGGGTAGGAATGAAAGCTTTCCCTCCTTAGGACTGGAAAGGCCATTCCTGGCACTCAGGCCTCTCCTTGACAGGAGCGCTGGGTGCCTGATGGCAACCTGGCTGAGCATAAGCCTTTAGGATGGGCAAAGGGTTTTGTGGAGATTGTGCTGTCCCTACTGTTAGCTAAGGTTATTCTCATTCTATCAACTGCCAGAGCCTGTCCACTGGGCTCCCGTAGGCAAAGGTCAGCTAAGGACAGGCTGATTAGCTTGCCCCTCAGGGCCTTTCTCTTGGTGACACAGCCTCTGGCTCAGAACAAAGGCCCCTCATTTTGCAGAAGCACTGATTGTTAACCGTGAGAGTGCTGTCCCCTGCTGGCCACAGGGCTGTGTTCAGGGAAAAGCTTAGCTGCCCCACTGTTACAGCCTCCTGGAGAGCCCTGGACCACACCTCCACCAAAAAGAAGCTGAGGACCCCCTGAAAGGTATACTGTGAAGGACACTACTTTCCAGTGCCAGAACTCTCAGGCCAGCCCTGGGCTTCTAGAATTCCAGTCCCAGTGCTGCACTGGAGCTGGCTGTACTGAAGTCAATTATTAAATATTCAGGAATTTTACAAGCTGCATTGTCAGCTTGGAATTAGTCACGGTGGGAGTATTTACACCATGAAAATTGGCAACTGTTGCAGATTCGAGTTTTTCTTAACATCCAAAGCCCTCTAGCCCATTAGTCAGCACACTATTGTAATGACCCATCAAACTTAAAAAGAGGCAGCCAGGTACAGTGGCCCATGCCTATAATCCCAGAGGCTTGAGAGACTGAGGCAGGAGGATCATGAGTTCAAAGCCAGCCTCAGCAACTGGGTGAGACCCTGTCTCTAAATATGAAAAGGGACTAGGGATGTGGCACAGTGGTTGAGTACACCTGGGTTCAATCCCCAGTACAAAACAAAAGAAAGCAATAGTGCACATGCTTAGCATATGTGAGGCCCTGGGTTCCATCTCCAGCATGAAAAAAAAATCTTAAAATATTGTCATGTGGAAGACAAAAATTACCAGCCTGTTAGTAAGGGTGTTCTCAGATAAATCACCAAGTATGTGATTGATTCACAGAGAAGAGATGCATTCTGATAACAGGGAGATGATATACATTTTAATAAGAGGGAAGTAGTGAGGAAGGAAATTTCTTAAACTTCTTAAGATAAGCTCACGTGTAGTTGAGGGCACTGTTTGAGTAACAGCTCTTGTGCTTGCTAATGGTATGCCAATAGGCAAATTCCTTCACCTCTTTAGCTCCCAGGTTTCCTGTCTGCAAGCAGAGGTAATAGGAGTAGTAGTGGTCCAGTTTGTAAGTTCATAAAGGGCAAGAATCAAGTCTGATTCTAACTATAAGGTCCAAATTGTACCTTCGATTAGATTGTACCTGATTTGTAAGATCATATTCACAAGAGGCAGATTGCATAGAATCTAGCAAAGTGGTAACAGAAAGTAGGGCTCTTCCAGTGTAAACAGACACAGGACTTAGATAGAGAGCATGTGCTTTGCTCCCAAGAGAGGCAAGAGCTTGGTTGTGCAGTGAAGACACCTGGCAACATTTCTATAGAACCCAGTGGCCAGTACCCAGGAATATGGCCCTCTCTAAGGCTTTATGCTCGCCTATTAATCTTTAGATGAATAATTTGGCATTTTGGTTGCTGAAATCCTTGGAAGAAACTGTCCTGCCGAGTCTCAGAAAGTCCTGTCTAGTCTCAGAAAGTTGTGAATGAGTTGGCATTGCACTCCTTTGAGTTTTGTTAAACAGTCTACTAAGATTAGATGTGATTGCACAAGAGAAAACATATAACAGTAGCACAAAGTATACATCTATTTGTCTCCCATGTCAACAAAACCCAGAGGGGGCAGTCTGGGATAGACATGGCAACTCCACAACCACCTTTTGGTTCCACCATTCTCTGTGGGTAGTTTTCACTTCACGGTTGGAGGTGGCAACTCAAGTTCCCATTTCCTGCTTTCTAGTCAGCAGGAAAACCATACTTTCCAAGTCCGACACTTCTGATTACAAATCATTGACCAGATGTAGACCTTACCTAGGTAAAAGAAAGGCAGAAAATGTCTTTATTCCAAACGAGCATAGGAGTCAAGTACCTACTTAAAAATTAAGGGTTTTTAATAAAATACGACAGTCTGCATTAGTAGGTCAATTTCCCTGAGCCCGCTCACTTCCCCATCAGGGAACTTCTGGACCATAAGCCCCAGCATGGGAAGATAACAGGATTCCCCTCTGTGACACTCTTTCCTGCCTCCTATTGGTGGCAGAGCCCCCTTCTGTTGCCTCTCTAGAACCTTCCAAAGTTTCCCTCCTTGCAGCCATAGCCCTGAACTTCAGACCTCCGTGTCCGCTGATGGGGGTCTCTGGAACAATCTCCTTGCGGTTCCTTCTGCCTCTCCTCTTGCTCTTCTTCAAGCCCTCCAGCAGATGGGTTACCTTTCCTAAGGGCCAAGTCCTACCATGATAAGTCCCTGAGCAGGAACACCAGCCCCTGTCCAGAAGTCCAAGTTCCTTAGAATTCCAAAGACCATGAACATGAATGGGCCTTTGCTGGCATTTCAAAGCTCAACAACCTTAGATATTTGAAGTTCTGGTCACAAAGGGCCACCTGCCACTCCTTACCTGTGAGACATGCTCCTCAGCCCCACACACCGCTATCCTCTGCTTGGTATGGCTTTCCTTTGTCTCAGGTCCCTAACTCCACCCATCTCAGCAAAAAGCCTTCTTCCTCCAGGAAGCTTCACCCAGCCTGGACTGAGTCTTGTCTTCCCGAGTGTTTTCATAGGACTTTATATTTCTTTTGGGGCTTGGACTACAAGTAGTTGCTTCGAGAGGGTCAACATCCACCAAGCTTGCTTGCTCCCAGCATCTGTGCCTGCCACATCAGCGCAATGGATGAACTGGATTGCAGAATAACGCTAGGGCCCCATGGAAAAGAACTAGTTGGGAATAGGGTATGGATATGAACAGCTCATGAGCTGATCACCGGGGCCTCCTGGAATGTGAAAAGTCAAAGTGGCCATTTACGCCATGCTGGGAGCAAGCATTTGGGCTCCATTTGAATACACAAATGTAGATCCAGGACCTCCACCAAAGTGAAGCCCCTTCTGGGCTTGTGATTGGGGAGCCCATGAGGGGCGATGGAGTGGTGCTTAGCAAGGACTGCCATCATCTCTCCTTTATTTATTTATTTTTTTCTTTTAAGGCTCAAAGTCTGAGTAGTCACGAAAATTAAAGCTTTGGGAAGGGGTGTAGGTATTCGAAAGGAAACTTTGAAGCATCTAGAAAAATAATTCATTTTTCAAATGAAGGGCCTCAGTGCCAGAGAAGCAAGGTCATACAAGGTCACACACCAAGTTCACCCAGCCAGATAGAGGATGAGATTGAGACTGTCCCAGTTCCCACTCTATTTTTCTGTTCAACCACACAGGGTAAAGACACCCTCAATTTCCTATGGTCACATCCAGTTTGGGGGAATAGATCTTGAAGGTTAAACAGAGATATGTGTGTTGCTGATCTTTATTTCATGTTTCCCATCAAATTATTTCACGCTTCATAACCAAAGATGGAGAACAGGTAGTCAATTCTCAAAGTTCAAATTCTATATGGCTTTCCACTAGTTATTTCAATCTTCCCCTTCTCTGCTCATAATTCCTTTACCTGAGGAGGTAATAAAATATTTTTTTCTGATATTTGGACCAGACTAAAGATCACTGGGATCTCCCATTTCTCTCCAGTGTGTAACTGACTAGATTTGATTGGAAGAGATAAGACCATGAGCTATTGAAAGGTCCTTTGTTTGTGGATTACAAGCAGGTCATTCAGTTTATCCCATTCATTATTCCACCCTACTTTTTGAGTTGCAAGGTTAAGGCCTTCGGCAAAATGTTGATGGAAGGGAACATTGAGCACCAGGTTGTCCTGCTTTTGCCTTCATTCCAATCCACTTTCACCTTCCCTAACTGCTGAAGGTTACGGCTATAGCTCATTTCTCCAGTGACTCACTCCAGGAAAAGGACATGTGACAAGAACCTGGCTCTCATGGGACTGCCCGCCAGGGGTGCCAGGACAGAGATGGCATTGTTCAGGGAAGATTCAGGAAGTCAAACATCCGGAGACGGGTGTGCATTGACAACTCACCCCACAGGATGGAAGAGAACACATTTCCCCGCCGCTGATCAATCTGTATATTTACTTGTAAAGGGCACTCAGAGGACTTTAGAGTCTTTATTCCCTTGGATCCCAAATGCAGCCTTCCTGATGGTCCAGGAGAGGGAGCAGGGGCCGTTATTCCTAGAGGTGCTTGCTTGCTGGCACAGGGAATCCTATCCTCCCTGCTAGTAGCCCTTTGAGATACACATGATCCCTGCTCTCATTTT